GAGATTCCAGCTGTACCTAGCGGCCACGGTGGCCAACCTGACCCTGGTGGCGGCCAAGGCCGGCCTGCCAGGCGGCACCGGCGGCGGTTGCAGTGTCGGCAGGTCCCTGCGCACAAAGGCCCTCCGTTCCACCCTTGAGTTCGTCCCTCCGCGGCTCGGTCAAGTCATGCCTCTGGCCTTGCTTGCGTCGGCCTCACTGCCGAAATTCATCCCATTCATCTCCCCGGGAAAGGCTTTCCGGCCAGATTTCTAGAGGAGACAGGACAGTTGACTACAGCCGCTCGTCCGCCAGCAGCAGCAGCTCCAGCAGCACCTGGGCGCCGTTGGCGCAGTCCTCTGGGCTGGAGTACTCCTCGATGGCGTGGCTGATCCGCCCACGCTGGGCACGAACACCATGGCCATGGGCGCGATCGTCGCGATGGCTTGCGCGTCGTGGCCCGCGCCGCTGGGCACGCGCTCCCACGCGAACCCGGCCAGCTCGGCGGCCTCGCCCACCCAGTCCTGCATCCCCTGCGTGATTGGCACGGCATCGGTGAAGCGGTGGCGGTTGATCGTGATCTGCACCCCGTCCTGCTCCTCGCACTCCCGGGCCATGCGGGTCAGCTCCTGCTCGGCGGCCTCCAGGGCGGCCATGTCCAGGTCCCGTATCTCAATCCCCACGGTGGCCCGCCCCGGCACCACGTTGACCGCGTTGGGCTGCACGTCCAAGGCGCCCGCGGTGGCCACCCGGCAGATCTCATCCTCGGCGGCCATCCGCTGCACCTGCACCACCAGCTTGGATGCGGCCACCAGCGCGTCGCGGCGTTCGCCCATGGGAGTGGTGCCGGCGTGGTTGGACATGCCGGAGATGTCCAGTTCAAAAACACCGCGACCGGTGATGCCCGTGACCACGCCGATGGGCGTGCCTGAGCGGTACAGGTACGGCCCCTGCTCGATGTGCAGCTCGAAGTAGGCTGCCAGGTCGCCCGGCTTGCGGGCCGCCTCGTCCACTCGCGAAAGATCGCCGCCGATGTCGCCCATCCGCTGGGCCAGCGTCACCCCTTCGGCGTCTGTGGCCGCCAGGTCCTCGGGCTCCAACATCCCGGCCATGGCGCGGCTGCCGATGAGCCAGCGGTGGAAGCGCGTCCCCTCCTCGTTGGTGAACACGATGGCCTCGATGGGATGGCGTGTGACGTGGCCGTTCTCCGCCAGCGTCTTCACCACCTCGATGGCCCCCATCACGCCCAGGGCGCCGTCGTACTTGCCGCCCAGCGGCACCGTGTCGGTGTGCGAGCCCATGGCGATGGCGGGCAGCGAGTCGTCGGTCCCTGCTTTCCGGCCGATGATGTTCCCGCCGGCGTCGATCCTTACCTCAAGCCCGGCAT